TCTATTGCCTTCCGATTTGGGACGGTAGGGGTCAGGGGGCGGGGTCATGATCCATTCTAATATAATCTTCTTCCAAACATGAAAAGGATTATATAGGAATCCATGTTTTATATGTTGGAATAGAATGCATAGGTGAGGATTGAGCCCATTTACATTTTGCATATTGGGAAGTATTTTCCCTAAAAAGTATATATGTATGCTTGTATTTTCACATAATTTTAAAACTAAAAATCACAAACAATTAAATGTTTATTTAACCATAGTTATCTAAGTGAATAACACCAAAGCTCCCTGTCATCGATAGGAATAACTTAGTAAAAGTAAGAAAAATGTTTTGATAGCACTGCAGCCTTATCAAAATAAGCAAAGCTTCACCTCAAAACTCACATAAATATGTAGTTCTGGTGTCAAAAAACCTTCAAATCGATTATATCAACCTTGACCATTACGATTGTGAAAAAAAATTAGGATTTCAAGCTCTAAAAATGTTGTATATTGTAAAATATTATCTACACCATCCATTTCACCTTAAAAATAAGTTTTCAAATATCCACAAGATCTATACCATTTTTTTAACTTCAAATTTCATACTCGGTATTGAGAATTTATTCTAGAGCCATCATGAAGGATTCTAATGCCTAGAATACTTTGAGAATGAGGTTTCAAGGTGAGGTTTTACTTTATTTTTATAAAGCCTAAGCCCTATAGAAACTGCATTATTCGACAATTTGGAGATCATGACCAGTTACCTTAGCATTTAATCTCCCCAAAGCATGGTTATTTTTGAGATTAAATAAAAAGGCAATTGTTGTCCCAACCTTAAGCTTTAGGGATCAAACCAAACTGCATATCCTAAAATATTGAAACATCAAAAACAAAAACTTCCGTATTGCAATGGATGGTAGATTAAGGGAGCATATGGTTACAATATTTTCCCCAATTTGGAAAATAAAGGGAAAACCGTTTCCCCAATTTGGAAAATAAAGGGAAAACCGTTTCCTAGAAGAATTTTGTGAGATCCTCTAAAATAATGATCATATAAAAATGGGTGAGGTTTGTGTAAGGTGTCAACCTTTTACTATTGAAATACAATGCACCTCAAAACTATGCCAAAAAGACAGTGTCAATGCCGCAAACTCTTGCGATGATATGAAAACCTATTGTTGTCCCCAATTATGAAATTAAAGCTCCAAAAATAGTGACAATCAAACAGATCTATAAATACTTGAAAATATTTGAAAATGGACGGTCTAGGTGATGTGTTAGGAGATGAATTATATTTAGAACTAGAAGTTCTCTTTTTTTCGTTTATATGAATCTTAAAGTTGAGATGATCAATTTGAGAGTTTTTCAACATTAAAAAAACGTTCTCTAGTGGGTTTTTAATTGCGCACCTTAGTTTTACAGTGTAAGGTTGCCACCTTATATAAACTTTTTCTTATAAAAATATATAGAAATACAGGTGTTCAAAACGGAGAATTGTTACTTTTATTAAAAAACACACATGAGTCCAAAATACTTAAAAACCTCCTCAATTAAATGCGTGACATCTCTCCATGTGCATCCCATTTATTCCTATCTTTCAAACCACTCGAATAAAATATATATATTTGCTCTACACTTTGGTCAAAAGCCAATAAATTCCCTCGACCATTTCATTCATTACCCCTCCTGCCTTTTGAATGTCCCGCCATAATTACCTATTCTTTACCATATAATAATTATCGCATCGTTTGTTACTAATGCATTGACCTTATTAAATAATAAATAGAGAGAGTTACACACGTGATGAGAGTTGAGGCAGGCCATCGGACGGTTGAGGATGAGTTTCATTAGTAGTGGATACAGAGACAAGTTTAGTTGGAAGATTTTGGCCGTCGATCTCAACTTTATAAGGTAAAATATCACTTGCCCCAAGAAAATTTGACAATGATCTGTATGTCCCGAAATTGGTTTATACTATTTATGTCCTAAACAGACTAAAAGTCTAAAAAGTTAAGTTGTACCGCAATTTGCGTTGTCTTACCATCAAAAGATTCAGAACTCTTTTTTTCTTTTTCTTTTTTTTGACAAGGTTGACTTTTATTGATAGAATGCCGTGAAAGATCGCCTTATTTGTTTAGATGTATTAAAGATCGTATACAATAAAATTTATAGTAATTTTTAGGTATTAAACAATAAATTAGACGGTTTAAAATTTAATAGCATATAATTGTGACCTTGTTGTTAATAACATGGGTATACGATAGTAAAAAAAAAAAAAAATTCATAATGAACCAGACCGAGAACCCGACGAGTAAGGGTTCAGCAAGACCCGACCCGTTGCCACTCCAAAGCATAATGGATAAGACACCCTCAAATGACCGACTAGTAAATCTGGCTAAGCCAAGTGGCTCGGCCGCATAATTTACCGAGAGAGAGAGAGAGAGAGAGAGGGCACTAAGTTCCCTTGCCCTACCATGAGAGAGAAGGGGGTAGAGTTGCCGTTGAAGGGGAGGACATTCTCAATAAAGGCATGCATTTGGCTAGGAAGATTAAAAGGTACTACAATTTCCTTTCTCATACTTTATGAGAAACATGAAATGAACGTGCCTCTTTTATTGAAATTAGCTATGGCAAAACAAAGACTACTTAATTCCTACCAAGGGCAGGGCCCCCACCGCACTAACTCACCCACCAAAAAAAAAAAACAACCGCTCCAGAAATAAGTATAGCTGGAAATGGTGCCATGGGCCCACCCGCCCCGATCAGTATACTCCACATCAATTAGAGCTTAAGCCACAAATTTTAGACAGAGGGCTAGACCATAGCCAAGTTCGGGTTGGGTTGGGTCGGTTTTGAGCAGGGCTTGAGCATATATTTTCTTCTTTTTTATTCAATTTCTTTGAGTCTTATTAGATCCGGACCCACTTGAACTGTGGTAGTGCCCTTTTAGCTCGGTCCAGGCTGGGGCGGGTTGAGCCAGCTCACTAGGGTTGGACTGGGCCCGTTGCCAAACCTAAAAATAAGATGATTTCCTAGACACAACTTTCTTTGCTTCCTAATCTCCTTTATAGATTTGTCGAAAGTGTTAAAGTTGGGCATATGAATCCCAATATTATTTATAGACAAAACTATCCTTTTAATTAACCAACTATTAAAAAGAAAAAATATCTTCTAATACAAGGAGGTCTTAGTCCTCTCAAGTGTTCTTGTTTTAATATATATATATATATCTATAGATATATATATATATATATATGAAAAAGTTTATATAGGGAAGCAACTCAATAATGTAGAGCTACGAATGCACCTAAAAAATCCATCGGAAAAGGTAGTTATAATGTTGAAAAACCCTTTGATTGATCATCTCGACATCAAGATGTATGATCGTGAAAAAAAATAAAAAATTAAGTCTCAGACATAGTGCATTTTACAACATATTATCTACACCGTCTATTTCAAGATTTT